AACAGACTTTTGATCATTGGTTATGGGTAGAGGATGTTTTTGTCTTTCATTGGTCATGAATAAAGAAATATGTGATTCTGATTCATGCTGGCAGAGATCTACCTCATGACCATAACCAGAGTTTGCATAAGATAAGCCAGAATGGACAGAAGAAGAATATCTGCAGATAAAATTATCTGCAGCCATGATGGCGTCATTAAGACATTTGATTGACTATGCTGAAGACTTCCCTTTCTCTGGGTGCTCTAGGTATAAGAGCCAATATACTTCTTTACCACTGACAATGGTTTTTCATTGTCCTTTCAATTAGTATATGGTCTGAAAACATCCTGAATGTAGAAAGGGTTTTACAGTGAGCAAGATATCAATAACTAGAAGATGAGGGGAGAAATATATTTCAAATAATACCAAAGACTTGGCCAAAGGTATTAAAAAAACAAACTGCCTTCTCTCCCCCCCTCCCCCGTATGTGTACTGGTGTATTGGGTAAGGTGTATTTGAAGAAGATTCTTTACATGGGGCACCTGCAGTAGAAGGCAGCCTACCCTTACATCTTATTTCTAATTGAAAAAGACTAGACACTTGTCTCTAATTGAAGAAGGCGAAGAAAACTGGGACTCGGGAGACTGTTTATCCAGTGGCAACACGTACTGAGTATCCAATGTCACATTTGCAGGGAACATTGCCAATGAGTTTTTATCCATGATTAAAACAAAATGGTTATCATTAAAAACTGAGAAAATATTTTAAAAATGGAATTTGCAATAAAGCAGCCGTTTCCTAAAGGCCACTTCATTTATATACACCGTGTAAATGTACACCGTTAGTGTAACTAAGATCTAACTAAAGGATTACCCATTTTAAAACCACAATGATCACTGTTAAAGGAAAGATGAGTGCTGAATTATTCTCCATTTAGAGCTTTCAACTATCGTGTGTGTGTGTGTGTGTGTGTGTGTGTGTGTGTGTTACTTTAGTGATTTTTTTTCAAAGTCGAAGCAAATGGAAATCTTACAACCATATTTGTATCAGATGTATATGTCTCTAAATGCTAATTTATGCATGGTTTCTAACTTACTCTAACAAGTCACAATTCTTGTTTTGAAGATGTCTAACATCTTAAAAAGAACTTAGGATGTGAGTACGTCCAGCTATATTTTAACCAAAAGAAATGGTATTTATTGTGCATGGAGCATCTTGGAAATTATTTCTCTGTGGAGGAAATGGTAAGAAGGAAAATGTAGAAATAGCAAGTTCAATTTCCAGGTGCATAAGCACCTGGATAAAAGAAGGCTCCCAAGGAAGCAGAGATACCATACGAATAATTTTATAAAGGCCAGAGCTAAAGAAAGGGTGTACCACCTCTGGGCCGTCCCCATCTGGACATTAGCTTGTACCTTCCAACATCAGTCCAAAAGCCACAGGATTTTAAAGACTAAAGTAAGAGGGCTCTCTCGGTCCTCCCCACAGTTCACTTCTCTCAGTCCTCCCCACAGTTCACTTCTCTCGGTCCTCCCCACAGTTCACTTCTTGCTCCAGTCTGTGTCTTCATTGGAATTCAGCTTCCAATGCTCTCAGAATACCATCTCTGTGTGGAAACCAGCTGGGGGTGGGTGCCGCAGACATTTCAGTCAGTGAAATGCTTGCTGTGCAACCATGAGAATCTGGGCTTGATCCCCAGAGTCCCTTTGAAAATCAATCTTGAGGAGGGTGGCATGAGTTTGCAATCTCAGTGGGGAGAAAGGCAGAGTTGGATAGAGCCCTTGAGCTTGCTCTTCAGTCAGCATAGACTGCCAGATAAGTTCAGGTCAATGAGAGACCTTGTCTCAAAATAAAGGTAGGTGGTACCCGAGGAATGACACCCAAAGTTGTCATCAAACATCTACAATACATGTGTGTACCCTGCATGTGTTCACACACATGTACAAAGAAAACAAGCTACATGTAGAAATAGAAAATACTGGCTACTTTTATTTTAAGGTATCTACCATTGCTTGCACATTTGTATCTTCCAAAACTCATGGAAATGTTAAGTTGCTGTAGCAAGACTACACAAAGGCCAAGAGTCATTAAGAGATCATTAGACCACTGATGCTCACAGTCCCTGGTGAGATGAGGGACATTACCCAGTAGGCTTTGATCCACCTTACTTGTCCTTGTTCTCACTCTTTGATACTAAATTCCCTGGCCTCTAGTACAGTGATCCAATAATTCTATATTTATTATAAGTTGTCCACTCTCCAGCATTCTATCATAACCACAAACGACTAAGAAATCATCTTTGAAATTCATATGGATATTAGGAATGTGACTAAATAACAAAATGAAACAAGATTTAAGTCACTTCTCACCCAGCCTGAGCTGTACATATTTACTTAGCTACTTTGTGTATTTGTTTATTCACTTATGTCATTGTAGCTCCAACACAAATTAAAAGGATGACTGGTATCAAATCTCAGCTCATGCTCATTGATGAATAATTTACTTATTTTTTCTTGAAATTTCAGGATAGCTGTGAAACCAATAATATTTCTGCATAAAGAAAAATGAAGGTGAAACAAATACAATCAAACTACTTTGACAAGTAAGGAAAATGAGTATCCAATAATTATAAAAATAGATTAAACTGATACTTGTGTTTGTGTACATCTGTGTGAGAGGATGGAGAGAGAAACAGATAGACAGACAGACAAACATAAACACAGTAGCTATCTTCCTACATAACACATTCTAAGAATTTTATTTTTATTTCTTCTGGGAAAAATATATCTGTTCAGATTTCATATTGAGTGCATTTTTAAAAAAATAATAGAAAAAATTATTAAGCAGCTTGCTTGTTTAATCAAAGTCTATTAACATTCTAAAAAGTTAAATGTGATGAAATCAGATTTATTTTTATACCTATTAATAATTCTCCTGCTGACACAAGATTAGTTGGCAGCATTCAAATCCATGAATTACTTTTTGCATTGTAAATGATTATTTTGGTATATTTAGAACAAAGAGGAAAAGCTGTCCAATGGTACCTCATTTAGGAAAAATTAATGACATACAAATGAATTTTAGTTTTTAAATGATCTACCTCAAGACCCAGCTATACCAACCTTGGGCATGTACCCAAAAGATGCTTCATTCTACCACAAGGACACTTGCTCAATCATGTTCATTTCAGTTATAGTCATAATAGCCAAGAAGTGAAAACAACGTAGATTCTGTCTCTCAACTGAAGAGCGAACAAAGCAAACGTGGTACATTTACACAATAGAGTGCTACTCAGCTCTTTAAAAAAAGAAAAGAAAACAAAACAAACAAACAAACAAACAAAAAAAAACGACATCATGAAATCTGCAGGCAAATGGATGGCACTAGAATAAAAATCATTCCGAGTCCAATAACCCATACCCAGAAAGATAAACATGGTAGGTATTCACACATAAATGTATATTAGCTACATTCACCCACCCAGAAAGTCTCAGTAAAGAGGAGGGCTCTCGTGGGGAAACATAGGTCTACCTGGAAAGGGGCAATTGAGTAGATTTGCAGGTGGACTGGGGACAGATAGGGATGGGCGTGGGGGTATGAGGAGTGGGGGGAGGTGGAGGGATATTGGGCAGGGAGAGACAGCTGGAACTAGGGGCACATAAGGGGTGGTGAGGAAACTTAGTACAGTGAAAACTTCCTGGGTTCTATACGGGCGATCCGAGTGATGACTTCAAGTAACGGAGAATGCGGTCTAAACTGGCCATTTATAGCCAGGCAAGGCTTCCAAACTCCACTGGGATTTTTGATTGAAATTTTAGAAGTCCTCTGGAGATCCTTAAACAGCCCAAGCTGATGCTAGGACAGAAGGTTGCTTTCTGATATTTCACAGTGGGTCCATTGCCAAAGACAACGTCCACACAGCTCACTGAATGTAAAGGGGTTGAGCTGGTGCCTGCTCGGAGCCTTCACACCTATGTCTAGTCTCTTGGGCAGGAGAAGGTACTCTGCAGACAATGGAAATTAAAACCTGGACACCAATTCAAGCACAAACCCCTCCACCTACAATTTGTCCTGCCTATAAGATGAGCTGGGGCGATAATGGCATAGAACTTCAGGAGTGGCCAACCACAAGAGAGAGAACCCGTGGCCCTGGATGGCCAGAAATAGGAGACTGGACAACCTAGAAACCTAGGGTAGAACCAAACAAGACAGGCAAAATAAATCCGATTACTCTCCTTGGAAATCAGGGAACCCTCAGAAAAGGGGAGCAAAGACTGTAGGAGTCAGAGAGGACAAGAACACCACGGGGACATGGCCCACTGAAACAATGAGTCTGGGCTCCCATGGGCTTAAAGAGACCGACAGGGCAGGCACAGGGCCTGCACGGGTCTGAAAGAAGTCCTCTGCAAGAGCACTTACGGCTGTTAGCTTGGTGCTTGTATGGAAGTGCCAATGGGAGCAGGTGTGTCTCTAACTCTTTTGCCTGTTCGTGAGACTCTTTCCCTCCTATTCGGTTGCCTTGTCTAGCTTTGATATGAGGACTTGCACCTTGTCTTATTGTATCTTGTTTTGTCTTTTTTTCTGTAGTCTCTTGGTGGGGGGGGGGCTGCTCTTTTTTGAAAGAGAAATAGGAGGGGGAGTTGATCTAGAAGAAAGAGGAGGGAGTTATGAGGAGTGGAGGGAGTGGGAACTGTGAGATGTATTGAATGACAGAAGAATCTATTTTCAACTAATTTTTGTTTGTTTGTTTGTTTAGAGACAGGGTTTCTCTGTGTAGCTTTGGAACCTGTCCTGGAACTAGCTCTGTAGACCAGGCTGGCCTCGAACTCACAGAGATCTGCCTGCCTCTGCCTCCAGAGTGCTGGGTTAAAGGTGTGTGCCACCAATGCCCGGCTCAACTAAAAAAAAAAAATTTAAATTAAATTGAATTTAAAAAGAAAAGAAAAAGCATACAGATTGTAAATGAATTCAACTCAAAGTGGGCTGTATCTGGAAAGTTGAAAGAAGAGGATTATTACCTGGACACTGGTCAGAGTTGTATACTGGTAAGCCTTGACCACCAGGTAATTAGCTTCCAAGTCTACAAGTCCCAGGATCATGTACTTCCACCATCTTCGTCGTAAAATTGCCAAGAGGTTTTCTTCTCCTGTGTTACAAAGTTAAGAAAAAACGGAGTAAGTGCTTGACATATAACACATTACATATTTAGAATTATAAGATATTGTTACACTATGTACCTACATATGCGTTTTTTTTTTTTTTTTTTTAAACCAGAAACTTACCCAATATTTAGTGTCTTAATCTATCAAAGACGCACATGCTTTACTTAGGAAATTGTCTTCATGCTCACTTTCGGGTCTCCAAATTAGTTTCTACACCAGGTTGAGACTGAACAAGTTATTGCTTACCATGGACTATACATTACACACATATATACATATTACATCACACACACAAACACACACACACACACACACACACACACACACACACACACACCAAAAATAAAAACATAAAAAATGCTCAGGCCATCCTAAATTACAGTTCTGCTAAAAGAAAAGTAGCCCGTTAGAAGCAGTTTTGTGTGGCAATAGATCTATAGTAAGACTCCAAGATGGCATCCAGAAGATTCTTTTGCTTTGTTTAATCTAGGGATGTGTGAGTGGTGTGTGGTGAGAAAGCTTTGGGATGGAAAAAGCCCACCACCCGACCCTTGTCCCGGTCTTGCAGTCATAGCACCTGAACAGACTTTAGATTTTTTATATATATATATTTATGATTCTTATTTTTATATGTATTCCAAGCTGAAATAAATCTTATCTCTAAAAGTGGCCCAATGATAATTACATACAGCTGTGGACGGCTTGTGACGTCTCCACAGGCGATGTTAAATATATGGACACTGAATGACTAGCGATGGTGCACATGAATTATTGCTGCCTAACAAATTATTCCAATACGTAGATATTTAAAACAAGCAGTGTTTATTGTGTTCTGGTTTCAAAAGGGACAAAAATCTGCGTGCAGCTTAATTGAATGCTTACGATTCAAGACTTCAGGCAAAATGCCAGCTAGGGCTTCGGTCTCATCTGAAGGGTTGATGAGGAGGGGTCTTTTGGCTGTTGGAAGCCCATAGCACTCCACCTCAGGGGACTGGATGTGGAATCAGCTAACGAGAGAAAAGTGTGCCACAGTCAACAAAGCTGAAAGGGGGTGCAGATCTGAAAAGCACACTGATGTGGGACATGGAATGCAGGTAGAAGTTTGCCCTACTGATTTGCAGTCCTGCTTTCATTCAGTATTTCTTAACTATGCTCCCTTTCCGCCATTTTGGAATGACAATGTATATCCTGTGCCATTGTACATTGGAAGTATGTAATTTGATTTTTATTTTATGGGGGCTAGAATTAAGAAATTGCTGCCGAGCAGTGGTGGTGCTCGACCTTAACCCCAGTGCATGGGAGGCAGAGGCAGGAGGATCTCTGTGAGTTCAAGGGCAGCCTGGTCTACAGACCCAGTTCCAGGACAGGCTTAAAAGCCACACAGAGAAACCCTGACTTGAAAAACAAAAACCCCAAAAACCAAAACCAAAACAACAACAAAAAGAAATTGCCTTGAGTCTCAGAAGAGGCTTTGTACTTTGAAACAGTCTTAAGACTGCAAGACTTTTGAAGCTGAACTAAATACAGTTTGCATTATAACTATAAACCTATATGTAGTGAGATATTCACTTTGTCCGCGCTTGTGGCATAGGCCACGCCCATTGGGGGGTGGGGACAGGGGCAGATGTTGCCTGGGGGAACTAAGTCTGAGGAGGGCCCGCCCCCGGCAGCTTTCTTGCTTGCAGCATGGAATACATCCCGAGGCATCCTTGGGACCAGGAACCTGCTGGTGTTCATCTGTCTACGTTGTAAGTTATTTCTCCCTATTTGTCTCTCCTGATCCTTATTAAACATCAATATCTCTAGGAAGCCAGAGGTGGGTTGCGGTGGTTTTAATGAGAGGGCCCCATAGGCTCATTTGCTGGCAGCTATGAGGGAAGGGTTAGGAGGTGTGACTTTGCTGGAGGAGATGTATCATAGGGATGGACTTTGAGGTTTCCGAAGTCCACACCAGGCCTGTGTCTCTTTCTCTGTGTCTATTGCCAGTGGATTAGGATGCTCCAGCACCACACTGCCTGCCTGCTGCCACAGTCCTTGTCATGATGATATGGACTAAATCTCTGTTATAGTTATTCTTGGCTGTCAACTTGATTGTGTTTGGCATTAACTAAAACCCAAATGGCTGGGCACAGGTACACTTGTGAGGGATCCCCCCCCCCAATTACATCATTTGAAATGGAAAGACCTACTTCTAATCTAGACCTCTGAAGTGAAAAGGTAAACGTTTAATGTGATTGTCACTGGCATTACAGCCTACTTCTTCTGGATTGGATTCCAGCATATACTGAAGACCCACTAAGACATCCAGTAGACCTTCCCTTCAAAGTCAGCCAGGGTTAGATTAGCTAGATCGCAGACTATAGACCACACTAACAAATCCAATTTCTACATATTTACAAATTTGTTATATAATTTTGTTAATCTAGAGAATCCTGTTTATAATATCCTCTGAAACTATAAGCAAGTCCCCAACCAATACTTTGTTTTGTAAGAATTGCCTTGGTCATGGACTCTCTTCAGAGCAACAGAAACCCGAAATAAGTACTGTTCCAACAAGTACATTGGACGCTCCAGTGTCCAAAAATAGCACCAGCATATACTTCTAACAGGGATGCTGGAACTCTTCTGCTCATTGGGTTAGAACTCTCTGTGAGAGGCCCTGTTAGTAACTGTGTCCAGCCACATACAGAACTTATCTTTTCTTACCTCTATTACACATTAGATTATTCACAATGTGAACAAATTGGCATTATCTTGTTTTTTATTTCCAGGATCCAAAAGTCCATGATAAAATCAATAAATTATATATGAATAAATTTCACAACTAGTCATTTAAGGAAGTTTAACACGAATTGAGATAGTTAAAATACATCTACTACAAACATTCTTGCTTCTTCCACTGAAATAGTCTTCCAGTTAAAACTATGACATTGACAAAACTAATACACTGGATAGAAGCCATAATATTGTTGATGGTGTATTTAACCTCAAAGCAGCAATTCTAAAGTCACAGGTCATTGTCCCTGCTATTTTACATGATGAACAATTGCCGAATTCAGAGCCTACAAGCCACATCTCAACATATATTACAGGAAAACTAGGTTATAGAGATGTTACTTGTTCCACTAACTAAGAATATACCCAAAGTCATTTATTATATGGACTCAGAAGAAGGATGAGTTGCCTTACTGGTCTGCAGATAACAACTTTGAGGAAATACTATGTAAATGCTTCCATGGAGTTTCATTTATGATTCTGAAAACACTCAACAGACTTGATTAGTAGAATCATCCAGGATGGAGGGAGACTGCTTTATTTTAAAGGACTCACCTTATTTTAAAAAGCACTCAGTTTATTTTAAAATCTGACTCACTGCTGTACAATTGATGATTATTAAAACTTTAAAATAATGGCAATATATTCTTGGAATTCATGTGCTGAAGGCAAGGCTCCTCTGAATCTCATGAATTAGATTCAGAATCCATGGAAATAGAATACCCTTATAACTAGTGAATATGAATGCTTTGAAATCACCTCAGATTTTATTGTTATTAATGTAAAGGGTAATAAAACCTATGAGCAATGAACAGAATCTTTAGAATTGCAGTTTGCTATTTAAATATATTCTATTTGTTAAAGTTTTTCTGTCTGTGTGACTAAACACAAATAAAAATATTGGATACAAAAGTATTAATGTACTCTCCATCTTGAGTTAACAAATGCTAATGTTTGGGGATATTTGTTTCAGATCTTTTTTGAGGACATATTATAGATGAAATTGAAGTCTATCCTCTGCTCCTGGAAGATTCTGTTTCAGAGCAGTGATTGTATAAGACTTTCTTGAAAATTGCTGAGATTAGGGATATTTTAAGAAGGTTCCCATACCAAACTTTAAAGCTAGTGTCAGATGAGAGGATAGTCTGTTTTCCTATTGTTTGATTAGGTTAAATTTAGGAAGTTAGCATAAAAGGAGATAGTGTTGGGACTGAGTTTCTAAGCCTTTTCAGTAGGTTGTATTTCAACACAATGAAATATTATACACTCTTATGCAAAATCTTGAATGCATATGGGATGCATTCCAATATATCAAGGCCCTAGAAGCCTAAGACTTGGATTAAAAGTAGTCACACACATACACAAGCAGGCACGCATGCACGCACGCACTCACACAGGCATGCACACCTTGAAAATGTTTTTTTTTTTTTTCCTCTTCAGAAAAAGTGTCAGATTCTGTGGTTTATCCCTCAAGCTGCTATCATAATGAAGATACCACTTCTAATCCAAAATAGTGTTCACTAGCTAACATCTGTAATGGTAGGTTTGCTGGGGACAAGTGGGTGGTAGATGCTTTGATTTGAAATTATCAAAAGCAATCATAATGAAGCTTTGTATTAATATAAATCTCTCAATTTTCCTGGTGTGAGCCTGCTGAGAGGAAAATGTATTTGTCCTATTTAATGGCAAGACTATTTCCCTTTTCTTCATCCCATTTTGTGAAAAGTGGCTCCATTTGCCTTCTGGAACTATCCTGTAATTGACTCTGATGCCTCATGACATTAGGCAGATGAATCTGTCAGTTTTGTGAATTTTGTTTCGAACAAAGAGCTATGTCTCAGCTAACGACACACGGTGTAACGGGAAGAGGCCAAAGCAGGCTTGCCTCTGGATGTCTGCCACTCACTGAGCATATTCAAAAGACAACAGACAGAAGGTGCCAGCCTGAACTCTTGAGGGCTGACCTTGAGCTTTGACATGAGAGCAGCTGTCATGGTGGACACAGAGGTTAGCCCCAACATGGGAAATTAACAGGACGCGGTGTCAGTGGGCCAGATGCCTGGTAAAGCAGGAAGCTGGCTGGCAAGGTTTCACTACCCAGTCTCCTATCTCCACTATCAGAGACCGAGCAGATACCCACCAAGGTTACTTCTGTTAACTGTCCTATGTTTTCCACTGAATGCAACTGTCATGCACCCTGCCAGCAGCA